CTCCACTGGGTAATATCCTAGTTAAACAAACATAATTTATGAATATTTATAGACCAAACAGAAGTGGTGAAAAGGAAATATATAAAAGGTAGTTTTGTGATGACATAATGAAGTAGTTGAAGACGATCTAGAAGAGTCTATTGGATTTTTTAAACAATTTCAGTGTTTTTGAAACACATTTTACAAATAATGAAAGGGATTTTTTTATAGAGTTTCTAAAGAGGGTGTTGATAGACGACAAAGAAAGAGTCTTTAAAGGCGGCCTAAGGGGAATATTTTTAGGCAACATGAAGGGAGTTTTGTAGTGATTTTAGTTATGTCTTCAAAAATGGAGTCTAAATAATTGATCAAGAGGACATGAAGGACCCCAATCGAATCTTTATAGAGAACTAACAGATTAACGGCCTACTTAACTGACTCTGTGTAAAGGGCCCAATAATAATCTTTATAGAGGACTAACAGGAAACCTTTAAGGACGACCTAATGACAGTCTTTATAAACTACCGAACAGGAACCTTAATGGAATAACTAACTGGATTATTTATAGACGACCTAAATTTAGCTTTATGTAGGAGTAGCAAGTAAGCTTTGGCGACTTAAAGGGAGTCTTTATAGATCACAGGATCTTTATTTGCTTCCGAAAGGTGGTATTTATAGACGACTAAAACGATTTCTTTATATAGGACCACAAGGTTTCATTATATCGAATTATTATCGAAAATGAGACGGTATCGACGCCATTAAGGAAATCTTTATACACAATCTGAACTAATTATTATTAGAAGTAATAGAACCTTTACGTTGAAAAGTATTTAGAAAACCCAGTCGGTTTAAAATGTCAATTTCATTATATATACCTCAAATAAATCTACACAAAGAAGGTTAACCCAGAAAAAAGATGTAACGTAAACAAGCCCTAACTATTTTTGTGCCATCTTAAAAATTGTCTTTATATGCTCTTCATACACAGCTTATTGGGAGTCTAATTTGCGAAAGGAAGTACTGGTTCAATATATATGTTGTCTTCATAAGCGACATAAAGTATGATTTTTCACATATTATTATTATTATTATTTTTTTTTTTTTTGGCGTCACTGGGTAGATTGCGCACGTTTCGTAATTTGTTTCACTGTCAAACATCTTCATTTTGGTCTATAATTTAATCATGAATCGTCTTACAAATTAACAACGCTTGTAAATCATTGAATTTTGCTTGCGTCTTGTGTTTAGCGACGAAGCTCAATTTTGGTTCAATGGATACGTAAATAAAAAGAATTAAAAATCTTGGAGTACAGATCAGCCAGACGCAATGTATCCACATAGCACGCATAACACATTTAACAATGGACAAATTGTGCCGAACGTTTTTTTTTTAACCATCGTATAGGAGTTTTTAAACAGGTTTATTGATAATCTATATGAAGACTTTATAGCGAGCTGACTATGTATAGTCCCATAGAGAAGGATGTCTGTAAGAACTAACCGAAGGGAGCTTTTTTGGATGACCTGAAGGAAGTTGTTATATGGAGGAAGTGCTTATGTTTGACCGGAAATATTGTTTAGGGGCGAATAACAATTTTATGAATGAAAATTTTTAAGTCTTCATAGATAACCCACAGGAATGTTATTATATGCCCTTAAAGAAGTCCTTGCAGGCGACTACAAGAACTTGCAGGCAGTATTTTAAACTATCAACATTTTTTTCGAACATCTGGAAAAGTGGATCCTATAGACAATTTGAGTGGTGTTCATTAGATTCAAAATTCAATTTTCCACAGAAAGATTCGACCTGTGATCCTGCAGATGAATACCATCAGAATTTGATCCTATATATCACATTTTTTATACTAAACCTAATGTTTGTCGCAATAACTTTGAAGAAAATGAAGGAATAAGATGGGAATTAATTTGAGTTTTAATTATCAAAATCTGATCTTTTATGGTAAAGGTTCCATAAGGATGAATTGGAGTAAAAACATTTGGAAGAAACTTGAAAAATTAAAAAAAAAAACTTGAAGGCGTGAGTAGACCTGCTTAAGAAATTTTGTCATAGGCTGTAGTACCCATTACGAATTTCAAATACCAAATTTGAAACAATTCCGGTGATGTACCTTATACGGGAATATACGAAACATACATACGATTTTTTTGTCTGTAGTATACATTACGAACTTTAAATACGAAATTTGTTACAATTCCGGTGAACAATGTCGCAAATACCGAGTATTGGGTGGTACCGTCATATGGGGGCTATACGAAGATGTGGACCTGCATACAAAAATGTTTGTCATAGGCCGTAGCACCCCAATACGAAATTCCGATAAATATTGTCGCTAAAATCATGAAAATGCCGAATATCAGAAGGTACCGTTATATAGGGGCTAAATGAAGACGTGGACCTGCATACGGAAAATTTTGGCCTTCTATCTCAATTCGTTCGAAGGATAGCGTGATTACAACGGACAGACGGACATCGCTAGATCGTCTTATATCGTCTTACATATACACCCTACAAAGTATATCATAAATATATAATAAATATTTCTAGGAGTTACAAACGGAATTACAAAGTTAATATACCCTCCATTGAATGGTGGAGGGTATAAAAATAGATTTTAACTATCCAAATATATTTTCCCCGATTAAAGTTTACCGAATTTTGACAACAAAAAGTGTTTCTGTATCTCTCGTTATTTCTTAACATCCCCTCTGCAGATTGGACAAATGTTTGCCAAGTAAAGAATTGATATGACGTAAAGTATTGATATAACCCAAAGTGTGATTTGAAATGTTTTTTTTCCATTTCTTGCATTTATAATTCTGTACCACTAATTCTGTACCCCCACCACAGTTACCACTTTTTATATAAGAACTAGTTGGTAAAACTCATAGCAAACACTTTATTATTCATTAAAATCGTTCGCAAAGTACACGTTTACTTCGTTTGATAGCGAAAGCTCTCCAAGAGCTTTGTGAATTGACTAAGTCGCTCAAAATGAAATCAATGATCCAAAAGAAAATCTGCAAGCCTTTATTATCCTTCTCTTTCAGGGAAAAATATGCTGAAGCATGGATCTCATGGGCACCTTTCTTTCCACTCAGATTATAGTCTACCATTTAATCAATTATTCAAACGAAGTAAGAAAAAAATCTTGCAAAGTGGCAAAATAACTCTGTGGCATGGCATTTCTTCGAGTTTTTCTGTTGTTTTATAGTGTCATAGCATTCAATTCTGTTTAAGTGTGGGCGAAGAAAGTAGCCACTTAAAGAGGTAAGAATATGTGATAACGTATGCGTAAACTGTGTGTACCACTTAAAGGCAACAAAATAACGTTCAAGGGAAATATATAGAAATCCATGATAACAAATTGAAAATCTGCTAACTATTAAAATAAATAATTTGGTTCATTTTCATATTTTATTTCCATGCGGCCTTAATCTTTCCTTCGATTAATTACATTAATTACAATCATGAGAAAAATTAGGAAAATCTTCAAAATAAGCAAATCGTATATCAGAATTAAACAAATCTTACGGCGATGACTTTCACGCAAGGTCTCAATCTACGATGCGAATTGTCACTGTAGCCAGCATAGTAAATAATTTATAATAATCATTGGTTACGGCTAGTTTGATCACCACATGAAAGTCGCCTGTCCTGTAGGGAGGGCTTTAAAAGATGTTAAAACCGTATTCCGTATTCCGATAGATATATACACTTATCATTTGACTTCTTTTACAAATATTAATGCATTTATTATTGACAATTGTTAACTTTGAGCGGGAGGTACGAGAAACAGTGATACGGTATAAATATGACCACGGACCAAGTTTTGACTATCGTTTGCTATTCCTAATCGAAATGAGTTTTTTACACCATATGCATGACTTTTAATACCCTACACCACATAGTGGTAATGGTATTATGTATTTGTGCATTTGTTTGTAGGATCTTCATAGAATAGTCGATGTATGCATGTCAGTCCATTTGTCCGTCTGTCCATGCATTATTGTGAACAAAATGCAGGTCGCATTCATTATCCGATTAAAATGAAATTTTTCAAACAATATTTGTGTGGGCCAAGGACGAACCCTATTAAAATTGGTGATAATCAGATTTAGATATAGCTCTTATGTATCTTTTACCAATATCGAGTGAATTGTGCACCAAATGTCCAATATAAGTCCAAATAACCTGAACATCGGTACATCCAACCGAATTCAGTCAAGAAGCAACTGCATCAAATTTAGAAAAAGTTGGTTCAGATATAGCTTTAGCTCCCACATATATGTTTCAACCGATTTGGGGATTACGCCTCACAGGCGAATGATATTTGATACCGGACATCAGATACTGCCCGAAAATACCTCTGCCAGATTTGGATATAGCTCCCATATATATCTTCAACCGATGTCGGGTTAATTGTGCACCAAATGACCAATATCTGGCAAAAAGACCTGAATTTTGTACATCCGACCGAATTCAGTCTAGAAGGAAGTACAACAAATTTAGCTATAGCTCCCATATCCGATCATCCGATTTAGTGTTTAAATCCTCTAAATTCGTAATATGCATTCGACAACAATAATATTTGGTACCAGATATCTTATAGAGCTCGGAAATACCTCTTCTAAATGTTATCGAGAACGGCTAAGATTTGGATATAGCTCCTTTATATATCTATCCTAAATCTGATTTCAGATTTATTGTGCAAATAATGGCTTACATTACGTTACCATTTGGTGGAAGTCGGCTCCGATATATATTTTTTAATATAATCCTTCTCGGAGTGATGATACTCTATAACAATTTTTATAGAGTAGTTCTCACACCAAAATAAAAAAAAAAAATTGAAAGCAACCTAAAATCATCATCTGAAATCGGATTTTGGAAAACGTTCAGGATTTTTAACCAAAAGAAATCTATTTCACTCGCTCGATTCATTGAATTTACCACGACGACAACTGTTTACACTAGAATATATTCATTTAAATGTTTACTCCGTTTTCAAATTTGTAACGGACTTTCGTGTACGACTGTGTGATATTCATCATACAGTCGTACTGTCAAATCATAACGAGTGACATTTTTCAAACGCCACTTGCGACATCTTGGCTTGCTCGTTGTTGTTTGACACTTACTTGTTTTTTGGATTACGTCCTAACAACAACGAGCTTTCTCAGCAACATTTTAAAAAGGTAAGAATATTGTTCTACAACAATATTCAATTAAATAAAACTATCCAATATTTCTATTGGACAAAATACTAAAAATTGTTTGTTTCTTTTCCTATATTTTTTGGTGCTATTTCCACTTTTCCCCTTTGCTACGCAAACATTTGGTCCATTGCGAGCCGGATAAGTGCAACAAGAAATAATAAGGAATTCTGCTCTTTTTCTCCAAAAGGTTTGACTACGTCAACTGGCAGAACAAAACAACAACATTTCCTCATCACAAACATCAACAAAAATAACAAGCAGGTACGTAGAGTGCAAATCAGTGAGCAAAGTTTTCAAATAAATTTAAAATAAAACCAAAAAAAAATATATCGCTTAACCTAACAGTGCCGCGCAGTGTTGTTGTTTGTGCTTTATATTCATACGAATATACGTATGTATGTAATTATTTCTATTTTCGTTACGCGAAAATAAAATAAAAATACCAACAAAGCGCATCAACTACTATCCAGTGATCTGTGTTGTTATTATTCTAAAAAGAAGAATATTAAAGTGATTGATATTGCAATTTCCAAAAAACAAAATTGAAAGAAAAGAAAATAAGAAAAAAAGTGCAATAACAATTCAACTACCATTCGCCTAACGTTGAGTGGTCATAAAAAATAACAACAACAACACATCACTGCAGTGCCTAGTTGATGCTCGATCGCTGCTTACGTTGGTAGGCACATACATACGCACGCAGACACAGCAAGCGCTAATGTACGAGGGGTCGTTTTGAAAGTTTTAAATACGATATTAGAATAAAATTTAATAAATATTTTCGTGGAAAAATATATATCGATTTTTTTTAATTTTTTTGGAGATTTCGGTGCGTGTTGCAACTAAATAATTTTCGTACACCCTACATTCGGTAATATCGATTAATTTAAAATATTTATCGATTATTTTATAATATATTAATATATATTAAAATATTTTACAAGTTTTTTTTTCTCAATTTTTGGAAATTTATTTCGCAATTTTTTGTTAACTGCTTGTCGCTACTTGTGCATCATACAGTCCGTGCACCCTATGATCGGCATTTTTAACTAAAATTGCTATTTTTGAGAAAAAACTTAATTTCTTTGTGAAAGTTATTTTTGCAGGATTTTTTAATTCTTCTACGAGATTTTTCTAAAATTTATAAAAATTTGTGTTCGCTCCAATACACTGAGCTAAATTTTAGTGTATTTTCGCTACACTGAGAAAAATTGTTGTTGAATTTTTTATAATATTCGCAATTTTAATACTTTTTTTGCATTTTTTTTTTTTGGACAATTCCGAAGAATTACGTTCTTCTTATTGTTGAATTTACTAAAAATCTGAGATTTTGAAAAAAATATTGTCGATATATTTGAACATATTAGTGTTTTTTCCTTTCAATTTCAAACGAATTTGTTTTCATTTTTTGCTAAAAATTTTAGACATTCGTCATTTTTGTTTGCCTTTTTGATTTTAATAATTTTGTAATATGTCGCTTACTCCTCTTGACTTTTTCATCCGAGCAACTGACGCTCTGGTCAAGTTCTCTGCAAACTTTTCTGACCTACGGGATGAAGACCTTGATCTCTATTCGCTTGAGATTCAAGGAAGTGAAGCAAAAGAACTTTGGAGTAAGGTGAAACAGTTATTTGGTAAATGTTTAAATTACTTGCAAACATCGGAAGACGCATGTGCAGAGGACATCACTTCAGCTGACAGTAAGTATGATGTCGCTTATAAAGCTTTTCTGCAAGTGTTGTCTGCCATAAATAGAAAGGTAGATGAAATTAAAAATAAGTCTAAAACGCCCCGTGTAGATTCTCCTCTAGCAGATGATGTCTATTCGATCTCTGAAGCTTCACAAAAATCCTCTAGTCATAGGGACATGGATGGCATTTCACTTAATGATAGCTTGACTCATAGCCTTAATTTGCCTCCGTGTGACATAGATGTGTTCAGTGGTGACTTTCTTTCGTGGCCCACCTTCAGGGATTTCTTCTCAGCTGTCTATATCAACAATTCTCGCTTGAGCGAAATTGAAAAATTGTGCCACCTTCTTAAGAAAACGAGTGGCGAAGCTCGAGATATAGTCTCTAAGTTCCCATTGATGCATAAAAGTTTCAATTTAGCCTGGAAAGCTTTGAAAGAAGCATATGATAATGTGCGTATTTTGGTAAATAATCAACTAAAAGTTCTATTCGATCTTCCAGTTCTTGAAAATGAGTCAAGTTCAGGTTTGAAAAATTTGCAGCGTGGAATTAATAGTTGTGTTTCCGCTATGGTTATTTATGACGTGCCAACCGACGGTTGGGATCCAATTTTGGTATTTTTGTGTCTGCAAAGACTTCCCCAACAAACAGTTACACTGTGGGAACAAAGTGTCAAGAATAAGTCAGCGCTATCATCTTGGAATGATCTGAACAATTTTCTTACGGAAAGAGTTCAGACATTAACTTGCCTGAGAGATATCAAAGGTATCGCTGATTCCAAGAAGGTTGATAATAAAAAGGTTCGGGCACATTTTACAAATGCTGCCAGTTCTCGTTCCACTAATTCTGCCAATTCAAATCGTTCGTTTCCTGAAAAAACTTGTGTGTTATGTCCATCGCAGTCTCATCATTTAAGATCATGTCCCGAGTTCAGAAATCGTTCTCTTTCAGATCGTTTATCTATAGTTAAACGCCATCATTGTTGCATTAATTGCCTCTCCAGGGGTCATGATGTAAAAAATTGTAGCAGCACTCATAGTTGTGCTAAGTGTAATCGAAGACATCACACTTTGCTACACCGGGAAGCTTTTCAAGTTTCCAGATCTGCAAATAATGTACCACCATCCTCTCACAACCCGTCCGGTTCTGCTCCTCGTCTACCAGAAACTGCCAATTTTAACCCGAATCTTCCATCTACGTCTTCTGGCCAACAATCTAGTTCCGTAAATAGACAGGTGTTTCATACGTCACAAAATAGGACGGTTCTCTTGGGCACAGCTATGGTGAATATTGTTCACCAGGGTATGACGTATCCAGCTCGTGCCTTAATTGATCCTGCTTCTGAAGCATCCTTTATTTCTGCTAGATTACAACAGCGTTTGGGTATTTCTACAACTTCCACTCAAGCAACTGTTTCAGGTGTTAATCAAACTGTTTCAACATTGTCGAGGAAACTGTGTTCTTTTGGTATTTCTTCATCAATAGATAGTTCAGTACTTATGAAAATTACAGCGTTGGTAGTTCCTACCATCTCTGGAAATCTTCCATCCTTTGTGGTTAGTACTGAATTTTCTTCCAGGTTGCCAAATCTACGTTTGGCTGACACTCAATTATTCGACTGCAGACCAGTTGATATGTTATTAGGTGCTGATATTTATCCTAAAATTCTCTTACAGGGAATGCAATCTAATATTTTGGGTTCTTTAATTGCGCAAAATACTGTGTTCGGCTGGATCATTACTGGTCCCATTTCTGCTAGCAACATCAGAGTATTTTCTACTAATGTAGCATATTCTGAAGAAGATGCTCTTAGCAAGACACTTCTTCGATTTTGGGAACTGGAAGAAGTTCCAAAGCGCTCAATCTTGTCTCCTGCCGACAAATACTGTGAGGAAAATTATAAAAATACTACTAGAAGGGATTCTAATGGCAGATATATTGTCACTCTTCCCATAAAACCAGAATTATTTGGTCAACCTTATCTTGGCCATTCTAGAGCAAATTGTCTACGACAATTCATTCGCAATGAGGCTTCTCTGCTTAAAAAACCAAATATTAAACAAATATATGATGGGGTGGTTAGGGAATATATAGATTTAGATCACATGAGATCAGTTTCAATCCCTTCCGCAAACTCTACGGTTTGCTATTTGCCTCACCATGCAGTAATTAATCCAGAGAAACAAACTACCAAATTACGGGTGGTTTTTAATGCCTCTAATAAAACTTCAAATGGTAAAAGCTTGAATGATGTGCTCTATATCGGTCCGACTCTTCAAATAGATCTAGTTCTACTCATACTGAGATGGAGAGTATTCAAATATGTATTTAATTGCGACATTACCCAAATGTATCGCCAAATTTTAGTAGATGCAGCTCAAACGCCTCTTCAGCGTATTCTTTTCCGGGATTCTCCCGACCAGCCTATTCAAGATTTTGAGTTGAAAACGGTGACCTTTGGAGTAAATTGTGCTCCATATCTAGCTATTCGTACTTTGTTGCAGTTAGCAGATGACACCGTAGATGAATTTCCTCTTGCAGCGCATATCCTGCGGAAATGCATGTACGTCGACGACGTACTGACAGGGTATCACAACTTAGAAACAGCGCATCTTTCTAGAGACCAATTAATACGTGTCCTATCTTCAGCTAAATTTGAGTTGCGGAAATGGACTTCTAATGACCGTTCTATACTAGAAGGTCTTCCAGCTGAACACCTAATAGACACTAAACTTTTAGATTTTGTTGAAGCCAGCAGTTCTAAGCCTCTCGGCATTCGTTGGAATGCTCAACTAGATGTATTTTATTTCAATGTAAAACCACTTGCTAAAAAATCCACATATACTAAACGAGAAGTGCTTTCTACTATTGCCAAATTGTTTGATCCTATTGGGTGGCTAGGACCTGTTCTAATTGTAGCCAAAATTATAATGCAACGCATTTGGTTAGATCACATCGATTGGGATGATTCTCTTCTGTCTACTAATTGTAGCCAAAATTATAATGCAACGCATTTGGTTAGATCACATCGATTGGGATGATTCTCTTCTGTCTACGACAATGGGTGCTTGGCAGAAATTCGTTGAGACGTATCAGGACGTCAATTATATTCAAATTCCACGATGGGTCAATTATGTTCCAGATTGCTCTGCCGAACTTCATATTTTTTCTGATGCCTCAGAGAAGGCATATGCGGCGGTGGTATACATTCGTAATATTGCTTCCAATGGTGACATTTCTACACATTTGTTGTCCTGTAAAACTAAAGTAGCTCCTATCAAGTCGATTTCTCTTCCACGTCTAGAATTGTGTGGTGCGGTCTTGGCCTCCGAACTCTTCAAAGCCATTATCGCTGAGATTGATATTAGATTTTCGAAAACTTACTTTTGGACCGATTCTACGATCGTTCTATCTTGGTTAAAGAAAATTCCGTCAACTTGGTCAACCTTTGTTGCGAATAGGGTCTCCAAGATACAGGACAACGTTGGTCAACATGTTTGGCATCATGTATCGTCAGAAGATAATCCTGCTGATTTGGGAAGTCGCGGACTTACGCCCGCTGAATTGGCTTCTTCACAAATTTGGTGGTACGGACCACATTGGCTCCGTTTAAACAGTTCTGAATGGAGGTTACGTGACTTGTCCGCTCTTGATACGGATGTAGAAATTCGTGCGGTTAAAAGTCATTTTTCCTACTTCGAAAATTTCGTTGATGTTTTAGACAATTTTTCATCGTTAGATAAGGCTTTACGAGTAGTCTCATTCGTTTTTAGATTTTTTTACAAAATACATCCTTCTTCTACTGGTCAAAATATTGTTCAAGGACAAGCTCCTTCGAGCTCCGAACTGAAAAATATTAAATTAAGGCTTATTGTTTTGGCTCAAAAAGCGTATTATGCCGAAGAATATAGTTCTTTATCTAACAATAGGTCCTTAAATTCAAAAAGTTCGATTTTGTCCTTGAATCCATTCCTGGATGATGCAGGTGTTATGAGGCTAAATGGACGTTTAGTTCGATCACCTACTCTCTCGTACTCAGAACGGCATCCTATTTTGCTTCCCTATCATTGTAAATTCGCTCGTCTTCTTGTTGAGAAAATGCATTTAATTTCCATTCACGGTGGAAATCAATTAATGTTGCGTCTTATTCGCAGTGAATACTGGATTCCCAGATTAACCTCACTCATTCGCAAAGTAATTAGTAATTGTAAACCTTGCATTTTAGAAAAGAAAAAAGCTTGTACTCAGATTATGGCTGCTCTTCCCCCGGAACGAACAACTATAACGCGACCATTTGCCACTACAGGTGTCGATTTTGCTGGTCCTTTTGACCTTAAATCTTTTACTGGTCGCTGCTGTAAAATTACGAAAGGTTATGTTTGTGTTTTTGTTTGCTTTTCTACGAAAGCAATACATTTAGAAGCTGCCTCTGATTTGTCGACGACAACATTTCTAGCAGCATTTCACAGGTTCATTTCGCGACGCGGATGTCCTAAGACTGTCTTTTCTGACAATGGCACCAATTTCGTTGGTGCTTCTCGAGAATTTGAGCGTGAATTCAAATCACTTGTTCATGAAAGTCGCGATCGGGTATGTTCCGCATACCAGTATCAAGAGCTTTCGTGGAAGTTCATCCCGGCTGGTGCCCCACATATGGGCGGCCTCTGGGAAGCTGCGGTGAAAAGTTTTAAAAAACATTTTCGAAAACACGCTATAAACATTAAATATACTTTTGAAGAGTTCTCTACGGTTCTCTCGCGTATAGAAGCTTGTTTAAATTCTCGACCGCTTTGTCCGATGAGTGATAGTCTGGATAGTTATTTGGCTTTAACTCCAGGTCATTTTTTGGTAGGATCTCCTATTTTATCCCCTCCGGAACCACTAATACAAGAATCTCCCTTGCATATCGTCAATCGGTATAGAAAACTTAAGGCGCTTACTCAACAGTTCTGCCTACGGTGGAAGGAAGAGTATTTAAAAAGTCTCCATAAACGCTATAAATGGAAATTTCCTCAGCGCGATATACAAACGGACGATTTAGTAGTAATTCGACAAGAACAGTTATCTCCAACATCCTGGAAATTAGGTCGGGTCATCAATGTTTTTCCCGGTACAGACGGTCGCGTACGTGTCGCCGACGTAAAAACTGAAAATGGCATTGTGAGGCGTCCGGTGGTTAAGCTGGTCGCTTTGACCAATTAGATGTTTGTTTCCTCGCCATCTTTATTTTTTTTTCGTAGCATGGAAAATCAAAACAAGATGGTCGCTACTCTTCCTGACTATGAGGAAGATGTCCCCATGTCGGATGAGGAAAGAGATGTCGATGATATGGTTTTGGTTCCCCTTACGGATATTGAACTTGCTTCCAATTGTTGCACTGGTACCAATGTTGATGCTGCCGCTACTCACAATGAGCCTGCTCTCGCACCTTGTGCTGCTGTTATTCAGCCTGAGACAGCAATGCAGCCTACGGCAGGGATGTCTTCTGCGCCAACCACTCCTCGACGAGGAATTACACCGGGTGGTTCAGATAGACGCTCTGACGGCAAAGACCCAGTGGCGACGCCGAAATCAACTGCGGGCTCAACGGGTTCCAGTAAGCGCCGCTGTAGTTGGTGTCACCAAAAACACCATCTTCGGCAATGCGGGCGTTTTAAGAGGCTCAGCTTGGATAAGAAGATCCGAACAGTGGTCAAGCACTTGTGCTGTTCCAATTGTTTGGACTCGGACCACTTACTTCGTGATTGCCGCAAAGATCCAGGCTGCAAGCAATGCAAGGGCAAGCATCACAACCTGCTCCATCCTTCTGCCCAACTTTCCCAACAAAATAATAATAACAATAAAAACAATTATAATAAAGATAATAATAATAATAATAAAAATGCAAATAATAAAAATAACAATAATGATATTAATAAAAATAATATTAATAATAATGGTCCGTCTACGTCTTCACGTAGCAACAAACGTCCGTCCGCACAAAGTACTCCGTCCGCTTTCTCGTCGCATGTAACTACGTTACATAGCATGGCAATCCAACCTATTATCACAATAGGGCCAACTATCGTCGCTCAATTGGTTTCCCACACAAAAATAATACCAGTCCGAGCAATGCTGGACCCATGTGCAGGTAGTAGTCAAATCTGCAATTCGCTGGCCAGTGGCGACGCCGAAATCAACTGCGGGCTCAACGGGTTCCAGTAAGCGCCGCTGTAGTTGGTGTCACCAAAAACACCATCTTCGGCAATGCGGGCGTTTTAAGAGGCTCAGCTTGGATAAGAAGATCCGAACAGTGGTCAAGCACTTGTGCTGTTCCAATTGTTTGGACTCGGACCACTTACTTCGTGATTGCCGCAAAGATCCAGGCTGCAAGCAATGCAAGGGCAAGCATCACAACCTGCTCCATCCTTCTGCCCAACTTTCCCAACAAAATAATAATAACAATAAAAACAATTATAATAAAGATAATAATAATAATAATAAAAATGCAAATAATAAAAATAACAATAATGATATTAATAAAAATAATATTAATAATAATGGTCCGTCTACGTCTTCACGTAGCAACAAACGTCCGTCCGCACAAAGTACTCCGTCCGCTTTCTCGTCGCATGTAACTACGTTACATAGCATGGCAATCCAACCTATTATCACAATAGGGCCAACTATCGTCGCTCAATTGGTTTCCCACACAAAAATAATACCAGTCCGAGCAATGCTGGACCCATGTGCAGGTAGTAGTCAAATCTGCAATTCGCTGGTCAAGTCGTTGCGACTGAATACCACCCCAGTCGGGTCCGACCGATTTGCCCAATTTACACTGGTCTCGACCTTCGACTCCGCCCAACGATTGTTGGTATCCGCTCGGGTTACAAATTTAACCCATCCTTTGTCCCCAAGTCAATCTGCCTCGGAATCGATAAAGGAGCACTACCAAGGTATGATGCTAGCGGATCCACAATTCTTTAAAGCGTCCCGAGTCGCCGTGGTGTTGGGTGCTGAAGTGTACCCTAAAGTTATGAAGACCCAGGTTTACTCGAGCCCTGGATTCCCATGGGCCCAACTTACCATTTTTGGATGGGTATTGTCGGGTCCATGCCCAATGTGATTTCTTGCTGGGACACTTTCGCTAGAAGAGCTCGCCCGTGCCAATCGACAATTTTTATTGCGCGGCAATGTGCCGCTTGCTCTACGAGCGCAATATTATCAAAACAAAGAAAAAATGAATAATAAAATTGAAATTTGAATTTTAAATAAGAAAAAAATGTAAAATGAATTTATATTTTAATGTAATTAATTTAAATTGCAACATAGCAAGATGTTGCAAGGCTGGCGGCAATGTTTACACTAGAATATATTCATTTAAATGTTTACTCCGTTTTCAAATTTGTAACGGACTTTCGTGTACGACTGTGTGATATTCATCATACAGTCGTACTGTCAAATCATAACGAGTGACATTTTTCAAACGCCACTTGCGACATCTTGGCTTGCTCGTTGTTGTTTGACACTTACTTGTTTTTTGGATTACGTCCTAACAACAACGAGCTTTCTCAGCAACATTTTAAAAAAGGTAAGAATATTGTTCTACAACAATATTCAATTAAATAAAACTATCCAATATTTCTATTGGACAAAATACTAAAAATTGTTTGTTTCTTTTCCTATATTTTTTGGTGCTATTTCCACTTTTCCCCTTTGCTACGCAAACAACAACGATGAGAGCTATTATAAAGGTGATAGCCTTTTTGAAGATTTTTTTCTGCAACGAAAATTCAAAAGGGAACCCCTACCATTCATTCACCCTCTGCCAACTAATGTTATTACATTGAGAGGCATTTTGATGCGACTGCATATGGCGTCCGACTAGATCCGGCCTTGAACTTCGACAATCTTTGCCAAGAGGAAAAAAATTGTTGGCACTTTCACGAGTGCCAAACTGTCTACATTGTAGACATAACAAAGTGTAGACGATTTACTGTGTTTACTGGGAAAGCAAACAGAGTCATGCAACAAGATCTAAATATTGCGATAAGATGGAAAAAAGTTCAATATAAGTCAACTTTAGTATAACCCCCATACAGGGTGAGATAAAAAAAACTCCAACAAAGTCAAACGCCATAATTTTTACATATTTTTTTAAATTTTATTAAATGAAAGCAAAAAATGTCGAAAATATCATCAAATTTCATAATGCGTTTAGAATTGTTCGAATTGGCACGAAATCTTACCTTCAAACTGCCATACACACGCTCTCCGAATGTTGCTCTGCGGTATTTTTGGCCACTCCCGGCGAAGCGTTTGCTTGAGGTGATCTACACTTTGGTATTTGTTAGTGGCAACCTTACTTTTCAAAATACTCCAGACACAATAGTCCAACGGATTGGTCTCCGGAGATTTTGGTGGCCATTGTGCGCTGGAAATGAATGTTGGAATGTCCAAGGTCTGCGGTCAAAATGTTTGCGTGCCCAAGGCTTTAGTACACCCTCCCGAATATTCGGCATTTATTCTGATGCCACGGTCGATTAATACGAGCGGAGAGCGACCATCGGCTTTTATGGCGGCCCACACATCACCATAGCCGGCGCTTGAGTTCGGTGGCCGACCGAAGGTGCACATTTTCAGCTGACCTCTTTGGCAAGTAAACACAATTATGTTGTTTGTTTTTAAACTGCTGGACAACGAATGTTTTCTCATCGGAGATAACCAACTTCGGCAGTTCACCACTTTCGGCCATGCGAAGCAACTCATTAGCTCTTTTGAGTCTATTTTCTTTCTGTTGCGATGTAAGTTCTTGCACTTTTTGGAATTTCAATGACCTTATACCGATCTCATTTTTCAATATTTGCCGAATGGAATATTGCGATACGTTCAGCTCACCAGCCATTTTTCGGCCACTGCGACGCCGGTTTCGATCAAGTCGCTTCTTTACTTTTGGAACCATTTCTGCTAATGTTTCTTCCGTCCACTTCCTTGACGTCGGGCTACGCTACCAGTATCACGGTAACGAGCGATGGTACGAGACACAAAAGATTTATTCACATTTAAATGCTGGAATGCTCTAACGATAGCCACTTTTGGTTTTCCAGCCAAATATAAAGAAATCACACAATCAGTCTTGAATTCCATCACTAATAACTTTATTTCTGGAAAATTCTCACCAAAATGCTTTTGTACTCTTGTAAGCAATATAATGTGTTGTCACTACAATAATTTTATCATCTGGCGGATAAGTGGCTTAAAAATAACAGCAGTCTGAATTTGTTGCCATTTTTTATCATCCTATTATAAAGATACTTGGTAATTTACGGTATTTATACCCTACACCACAAGGTGGTCAGGGTATTATGTCTTTGTGCATTTGTTTGTAACAGGCAAAAGGAAACGAGATAGAACCATAGTTCCATTTGATGATCTGCATAGAATCACATTCTGAGTCGATTTATGCATGTCCGTCCGTCCGTCTGTTCATCTGTCCATGTATTTTTGTAAACAAAGTACAGTTCGCATTTATGGCCTTTCGAGATGAAATTTCGCACAAATCATTTGGACGAACCCTATTGAAATTGGAGATAATCGGTAAAAATTTAGATATAGCTCCCATATATATCTTCTTCCGATTTTCCTTTTATTGTGCATTAAACGGGTAATATAATAGTATGGAATTTTGCACATACAACCAAATTAGGCCTGAAAATAAGTATGCCAAATTTGATCGAAATCGGTTCAGATATAGCTATAGCTCCCATATATATTGTTCATCCGATTTGTTATTCTTGTCCTCCGCAGCCGTAATACGCACTCTGTAACAACAAAATTTGAGCAAATATATCAAATGCAGCTAAGAAATACATTTGCTAAATTTTATCGAGATCGGTTCCGATTTGGATATATATCCCACATATAACTTCGTCCGATTTACTTTTTATTGTGCACCAAACATCTAATATTTGACCAAATGGGATGAAATTTGGCACTTACGACCGAATAGAGTCTATAAGCTAATATGCCAAATTTGATGAAGATTGGTTCAGATATAGCTATAGCTCCCATATATATTGTTCATCCGATTTGTAGTATTTGTTACCCACAGCCGTAATATGCACTCCGTAACAACAATATTCAGAGAAATATATGAAATGCAGCTCAGAAATATCCTTACCAAATTTTATTAAGATCGGTTCAGATTTGTATATAGCTCCCACATATATCTTCTTCCGATTTTCCTTTTATTGTGCATTAAACATGTAATATAATAGTATGGAATTTTGCACATACAACCAAATTATGTCTGAAAATAAGTATGCCAAATTTGATAGAAATCGGTTCAGATATAGCTAAAGCTCCCATATATATTGTTCATCCGATTTGTTATTTTTGTCCTCCGAAGCCATAATATGCACTCTGTAATAACAATATTTGGGGAAATTTATCAAATACAGCTCAGAAATACACTTGCTGAATTTTATCGAGATCGGTTCATATTTGGATATATCTCCCATATATAACTTCGTCCGATTTACCTTTTATTGTGCACCAAACGTCTAATATTTTATCAAATTGGATGAAATTTGGCACTTGAAGTTTGAATTTGAGTCTGGAAGCTAGTATGTCAAATTTCGTGAAAATCGGTTCAGATATAGCTATAGCTCCCATATATATTGTTCATCCGATTTGTTATATTTGTTACCCACAGCCGTAATATGCACTCCGTAACAACGATATTCAGGGAAATATATCAAATACAGCTCAGAAATATCTTTGCCAAATATTATCGAGATCGGTTCCGATTTGGATATAGCTCCTATATATATATATATATCTTTATACGATTTCAAATTAATTGTGCACCAAATGGGCAATACAAGCCTGAATTTAAAAGATACAAATTCTTCGGCATATTAGCAAAGTGGTGTAGGGTATCTTAAAGTCGGCCCCGCCCGGCTTTTAGACTTTCTTTACTGGTTTAATTTCAAATTTAGGGCTAACAATGCATAAACTTACTCTCTGCTAAAGATTTGTGATCACTTTTACTATCTAAATTTATCGCGACTTGGCAAAGAGAATTCTAAATAGTCATGCCATATCTTCAACATCAGCATTGATATTTTAGTCGCGCATAAGTATCACACCTCCTGACAAATGATCACACTTACAGGTCCACTTGTTTCTTAAGACGCCACATAAGGACACTGTTTGGGGTA